TTGTGATCTGAGCGCGCAGCATATTTTTAGAGCAATTGATGTGTAAACTTTGACACAAGGCTTCAATAGCGTTCCGGTCAAGAGATTCTTCGCCAGGCTCTAGCACCCGCCGAGAAATTTCACGCTGCCAGTGGGCTTTTAAGACAGTGTCACTTTGAGTTCCAGCCAAGCCAGCCATGAGACCGATACGATATCTAGAGATATCGTCCAAGATGTTGGTCCAGAGTTCCAAAGTGGCTTCATTCGGGGCGATAAGGTGCATGGTTTTTATGGGCTTGTTTTTGGACTGCTCAGGATTTGTGAAAATAATCGTGAACCACAAATTTTCGAGATTCTCAGGGATATCATGCTCCTCCCGGTAGTTACGAGCATCCAGACCTGTGCGTATTTCCTTAATATCATCGATATAGAGTCTCTTGGCCGGATTTGACAAATCCCAATAAACCTTGGCGGCATGTAAATCGAGGAAAAATGTAACTCTCTTTCTCTTATGTTTGGTGACTTTGGTCAGAGGAGAGCCACGATGCAAAATTAAATCCAGCTCGGGCGCAGTGCACGTATGAGTGGCAGTGCCGGACATATTGTATCCATTGGTGGTACTATTTGTTTCAGGCTTACACCACGTGCCGCAACCCTCTTCCTCTTCTTCATAGCTTGAATCCAGACCACTATCCCGAGATGTTGTCGTCCCAGTTTTGCTGTCACTTCTCCTGCGCATAATAACAGGACCAGAGCTGTTGTCTCGCTTGTCATGGTGAGATGTCGACTGTCTCCGCCGACTCAGTTTGTTTGCAGTTCCTCTAGATAGCCTTCTCATAAGCCCAGGAGCTTTGTTGGAAGTTGCATTGTTCCCGATACCATCTATACCAGATGGAGGGGCATTGGGGTATGTAGGAAATGCCATAACACTCTCGGGAAGTTCAAGGGGGAGGGGAGATCCAAGTGCAAAGGTCGGGCTGAATGTATTGCGGACGGCAGGATCCCGCGAGGAATCGGCTGAGCCGTTGAGAGAGAAAGTGGAAGGACTAGGCGCGCTTGAGAAATGAGCAGGAAGGCCAGGAGAACTTTTTGATGGCCCTGAAGGACCAAATCCGGAAACTGAGGGAGCAGTTGAACTAAGGGTCGAAGAAGACAAAACATCTTGAAAGGGAATTCTGCGGGGGCCCTGGGAAGGGGAGGAGTTCAATCGAGAATGGGAGTTGTCTTTTAAGGTAGAGGGGGACGGCCACCCGCCAGATGCCATTACAGACAGCCGTTATAAAAAGTGGGGCGAGGACTGGCGCACGAGACTCTGCAGGGACTACAGATGAGCGGCTGATTTTCAAGGTGTACCAAACTTCAAATCGTCGCCGTTGATGGCTGTGCAAGGCAAATAAATGAGAATGAAGTGGTGTAGAAAAGGTAAGAGGCCCAACCGTATTGTTGTTCTGGTTTGTTTCCCGAACAAGCCAAGCAGCAGTTCGACTGGCTGGCGTGTTAAGGAGGGCAGCGATTGAGTGTCGTTGTAGCAAAGGCGTGCCTACCAAGTTTGCCGAAATTTTGATACCTGCATATTGACCTGCAATATAATGCGTAATGATCTTCTAGAGGCTGCTTGCGAATGATTTGGCGCCTACTGTTCGGTTTGAGCGGCACCCGGACCTCTAACAGCTGCTCTTCTTTTATAAAAAACAAATTGAAAGGAGGGGGAAAATAAAAGCAAACGTTTGTTGCCTTTATCACCTCGCTTGTGCTTGTCCCCGGTTCTGCCTCGAGGTTTGCTTAGCTTTTGCCCTCCTCTTATACCTTCCGGCGTAATTTCTCGCGGTCGACAGAATCGACTGTGGGGGGGCTCTTCTTTGATAGGGCGGCAGTTGATCTGCAGGGTAGAAGGGGAGGCGGCAAGGTATCCAATCGAGCTTGTAGATCGCCACAGAGAAAAATGCTTTGTGGCTGAGTATGAGTATCTTTCACTCGTGGTAAAAATAGGAGCGCTGGGGAAAAAATGAAGCGTTGATGGCGAGAGAGAGGAGATTGGAGGTAGGAATGAGAGCCCAAGGCCCTCCTTTTATCTAGCTAGCAGCTCTCTCACAAGGCCTATAGTTTCGGGCCCTGCAAAGTTATTTTGACCAGTCTCCAGATAGGTCTTTGTGAACAGGGACTCAATCCCCAGAAAACTCGCTGAGGCGGCGTGCGCCCAGCTATTGCAGCGCGAAAATAAGGGTGTCAGAGATTGATACGTCAGAGAGCAGCTGGAGCCGGCTCTCAACGAATGGTTGTAGCTCCCAATGCAGTCCACGGGCTTGAGCTATGCAGGTGAGTTCTTGGAGGAAAGGGAGGAGGGTTTTGGCGTCTTGGTCAAACGGGGTAGATGTTTCGACGATCACGGCGAGGAGGCGCTGCTATTTTGGCGGTGTTTGCTGCAAGGGTCGCGGGGTCGACTTATGCGTGCGCGACAGAGCTAGGAAAGTACAGTAAGGAGCGATGGAGGGTGCAGGAAGCAGATGTATCTTGAGCCCAGCAGAGGCACAACATGGAGGAGAGGGAAAATCAGCAGCAAGGGAGAAATAAATAAAAACGGAGAGGATTGGCAGCGGGATTGAATAGTTAGTTTTTTTAGCAGTTTTAGCAGTGGGATCAAGGATTAATTTCTGCTTTCCCCAGTCGACGTCGTCGTGCATAAGATCGTGAGCTGTGTCGTACCGTACCAATACCGCGATTCTGATACGGTTGCGTATTGACAGCCTGTATGGTATGGGTATGTATGTATCCGGGTATTATTTCCAATTTCATACTATGTACGGAGTACAGTACTGTACTCTGTACTCGTTTTTAGTTAAGTTACCCTTGTTGCCATGTAATTATGTAATTCCCGATGACTGTCTTTCCTCCATTAATAATTATATCTACGGATGGATCACTTACTCACGATTCCGGCTTCAACGACGAAGTAGCTGCTTGCTTGGGCAGAATTTAAGAGCAGTCACTTCTGCAATAATAATACAATGAGAAAATAAATGTCGAAATCTTACCACTGCATTCTGAGCTTGCATAAATTTCGCAAACGAGTGGCGTGAATGAACAACATAGTACAGCACCGATTTTCGAGAATGGGCAATCCTCCTGCCTATCACTTATCATTTACAAGCAACAGCTCCTCCGTTGTTTCATGATCCTTCCACTGGCTCTGCTTGCGGGTACATTATTCACCCAACTACCAATATCATCGGTAACTTTGTGTGTGTATGTGTGTGTGTGTGTGTGTGTGTGTGAGAAATTCAGGTCTCACATGGGTAGGTAGGGTAGGCAAAGTCTCACCATTGGCTGCCAATCGAATACCGGAATTGGGAATATCAATGACCTCCCCCTCCCGTCTTTTCTATTTTCTTCCCAACATTGCAGCCTCGTAAAGGCTAAGTCGGGCTCAGGCGCCTTTGCCCGGCAGCATCCAAATCCAGGAGAACCAACTTTCTTGGTCGTCGTTAAACTTCCTTTTTATCTTAAACTTTCGGAAACGAAATGGCGGTGGAGTCCTTACTCCCAAGCACCAACGCTTATCAGGTGGGACTTTTTGAGATCAGCTATCCCCGCAACGAATTCCATCATTGTTCCTGGTCTTTGGGGGCTGTGACTGTGGCTTATTAATTCTCCCAATTGGCCATGAGGAACAGACGCTGTTGGGTGCGAATCATCATCCGGGCCAAGAGCCTTTTTTTTTTCTTTTTTTTCTTCTCTGTTTCAATCCCTCGCCAGCCTTACGGACAAGCACTGATAGCGGTGCTTGGCATGTCTTGGGCATCCGGACGCCTGGGAATTTTGGTTTGTGGGAGATCGAATTAGGATTCCACGGCCATCAGGTGAGCTCTTGTTGAGTAGATTTTTTTTTTTTTTTTTTTTTTTTTTTTTTTTTTTTTTTTTTTTTTTTCAGACGAAAGGGTAGAAAAAATAATTGTTTATTTTGAGTCCAGGAGGTAACTACCTCACAAAATTTTGTTTCTCAACCATCACCGAGCCGATCATAGAGAGGACTCCTATTTGGTTGTGTTCGCTCAATCATCTTTCCCCCTTCCCCCCCCCGTGCCAGGAGAGTTTTGCAGGACCTGAGGAATCATACCAGCACCCAAAGTCAAGTTCCCCAGACGATTTCAACGCTTAACTGGGCGTTCTCCTGTTGGCCCGACCATTCGATTTTGGTTTTGTTCCTGGTTCCACCTTCAAGCTGCTGATCCAGGATACAGTCTCAACCGACAAATTAGCATCCCTTTCTCCCACGAGGGATGAGTAGAGGGTGGGTAGTCGGAACGGGCTCTTGACGTTGAAAGAACTCTCATTCAAGTAGATACAATACCTCACCAGTCAGCCAATAATGGCGCCCGTCAGCCAACAACCGAAGAAGCTGTAACTCTATGGAACGCTTGTCCGAGCCTGTATTACCGGGGTTGTATGCAATAATCTTAAGTCTCACGTGCTGTAACAATACGCTCTCCGCCATACGCGTTACGTACTGTACATACAATGGCTCTCTAACCCATAAACATTAATTCCCCCCCCTTCGATCGTTGAATATAGCGGCTTGAGCCGAAATGACCAAGAGACACCAAGAAACGTGGCATGAAAGGCAATCTGCCGAATCAGAAGAGCCAACCCGTCGCGCCCGCATACACTTCGGATGGGCCATCAGCTCCGCCTGGGATAAATATACATCGAGAAGATGCTCAGATGCCTAACTAACTATCTATCTTAAGGACAGTTGCTGAGAAAAAGAATAGTTACCGTCCTTCGCGCGACCGACCGCCTTCTTCCCATGACATCATAGTGGCCGTCGTTGATCTATGCGGCATAGTCGTATCAACAATGAAATCTTACAGTGGCCTAAACAAAAAAGGTTGAAACTTTTGTAACTTCTAGTCAAATCACACTAATCCCAAAGTAGGTTGATGCATAGTAATTAGTAGAAGTTATAATAGAGTTGCATAATACACATTCATTTACCCCTATTTCATTTTTCTCAAGATAATACTCTCTCTATATTCTTTTTTCTTCAAATTAATGGAATCTCCATTATTCCATTATTCCATAATATTGAGTAGAATCATACCTCTGCAGTGTATATATAATGAATGCGCGTAAGTCTCAAATAAACAGTGCATAGACCAAACTGCTTTGAAACTAGTGCAACTTATTGTGCGGTTATTATCGAACAGTTTCCGATGGCCATGTACGGAACTCCGTACATACGCTGCGAACATCTCGCTCCATAAACATAAAACACAGAGAGATGTGATATATTCATGTGTTTATACTGCTCCTTTCGGTCATCAGGCTCCCCTCGACGGGTTTCTACTTGGAATATGCGCGTGCATGAGCTGACAACAGCACTTGGAATAATGCCTGTCCATGGCAGGCTGACAAGATGCGGGGCAATGAGACTAGGTTGTCGGCATCGTCGTCCTGCTGCACTCGAAAACCCGGCCGCAAAGAATCCCACGCCTTGAAATGCGAGGTTTCGGGGACAATGTTCGGGATTTCTCCTCCATCATATTGGTGGCTGCCCCGCCCTTCCTCTAGAACTGGTATTTTGTCCCCTCATCCGGTAATAATGATTCTAGCAGTAACCTACGATTCATGATCTTTGCCTTGTTCCTTTTTAGCAGAAGCCAAAATGAGGAAAAAAAAAAAAAAAAACAGAAGTATGTACATAAATTTATTGAATATTCAATAATTGTACAGCACTGTCCTTAACTACACTCTCCCGAGCTTATCCAGACGTCCACTACGGAGTACATATTCACACATTCCAGATATGATATCCGCCATCCATTCAGCACAACATAACCACATAACCCCTTTTCACCTCTCTTTGGACGTTCTCCCAATCTGACGCACTACGCTGCGTACTTGTGCAGAGTGCCCCAGCGACCTATACTCTGTACAACCCATCCACCCGCCTTTTGACAACCCCGCCTAATTATGCACACCCCTCCATGTGCATGGTGCAGGATGTCCCTCCACGTCCGTCCGCCTGCCCATTTTTCAATTATTAATAACACTTCGCAGCACAACGCCTGCCTATGTGAGACTGAGCTAGGCAAGATAGAGCCGTTCAAGACCCAGCTATGAGTAACCTACTTCAACAGGTTCCGATCTTTAATACGACCTTCCCTAATTAATATCGACCCTCCTCCTCCACGTTGACTTCGTTACAACCAACCCCGGACATGCACACTCCCGAACAAGCCACTCATTATTGTTGCGCCACTTCGGTTTGCTTTTGCCTAGCTTTATCACCGGTGGTGCGTCAGGAATGCCCTGAGAGGCATTCTGCAGAATGAGGCTACCGATTGACGAGACCACCCCCTCTCCCCATTTTTCACTCTTTTTATCCTTTTTCTTTTCTTACCCTTTGCTGAATACTTGCGCAAACCTTAACTGCCTCTTTGCTTTCTAATTTTTTTTTTATTGCCCTTCACCGCAGACACAATATTTCATTATTCTGGGCACATGTAGCCGCCTCAAGGCAACCATTGCATGCATGAAACATGCAAAAGATATTCATCCCACAAATGCTAGGGGTTCAACCACGATTTCACGAATATGCACGAACTCCTAGAAACTAACTAGATACGAGATACTGCCTGCGTGCGATGACAGAGACGTTTAGTGTTTGCCTTATTTCCATATGATTGTCAGCGACGCACCCGCTTCTCTACTGCATACGTATATGTACTTGAAAATAAATTGAGGCTCGAAGTACGCTGTGTAGGTCCACATAAAAGAACTATGATATTGGCGCATACAACGACAAGGGGGTTACTTCTTTTGCTTTTGGCAGCTCCGCTCAGCAGCGGGTAAGGCAACCCGTCCCAACCCTTTGACCTTCAGAACCTTCGTGTCTGCATGCATCTATGCCGCCAGCTCCGCTCCTTAACTTTTCGTCTTCCTTTTCAAATTTGCACGGCTTTATTTTCGCATGGACGCCCCTCATCGGATCTGCAGGACATCAAAATTCCCCGAGAAGTTCAGTACGGTCTCTGAAGCGGTGAAATTTACAACTTGGAATAGGCATCAAAGATTTCACTCTGTTATCTTCATTTGTAACCACCCCCGCCCCTTCTCTCTCCTTCACTGGAGAGCGGCATCAGCACAGAAATCGGACATCTTTTCAGCCTCCCCATGCTGTGAGGATTTATGAAACTGCCACCGAAGCTCGGTGACGCATACGTGGCTACTCGTACGTAGGGAGCCAGGTTCCTAGGTGAAAGACTACCACGTCCATCTTTAATCAGCATCTACCTCCCAATGATGACAGGAACCGCACGCCAAGGGGGCCATACTTCCGGAGCTCTCAAGGCATCATATCCCCTTCTCCGCCTGTTGGTGATCATCCCAGGCGTATCTGACTTAGCGTCCTCAGCAGCGTCGTCATTTTGTCACCCCCTTCGGACGATAAGTCTGCAACCTATCTTGATAGGTGGATGGACCAACGGATGACATCCTCGAAAAGAACAGGATTATCCATATAACTACCGCTGGAAGACGTTCTATTATGCTCTCATTTCCCCTTCTCGTCAAGGGGGTCTCTATAAGTTATGGAGTGTTTTCAACGTCGTTTGCTTCCCTTATACGTTTGTTTGGCCCAAAACGAGCACTTTCTCGTCAATGCATGATCAAACGTGGCTTTTCGGCTGACGGAACACGCAAGATGGTTCCGGGAGCTACACAAAAGCCTGAAGGAAACGAAGCGGAAGAGATGTGTCACCAAAAAAAAAGGGGAAATAATGATCACCCCTTGTTTTCCCGGCCAATGCACATGTGTGCCAAGGGCGCATGCAAAGCATGTATCGTATGGACAGATTGCGTGTATGTATATATGCGCATTCACTAGCAGCGTGCATCGTGATCGTCCTCCTGGATCATAACAGTTGGAAGCATGTACAGTGCATTCCATACTGTGGTTGAGGTTGCGGGAATGATGGCTAATGCTGATTTCAAGAACTGCACGGCACGCGAATACGAAATCGACGAAAAGGAGATGTAAATGAAACTCTGCTTCGTCAAATTACATCTCATATTTCGAAAGCATGCAGCAGGTGCCGTGCTCTACGCATGTATGACTTCAAGAAGGGTACTCGATATTATCCGGCACACCGCTATCCATGAATTTTTGTCCATAATCAGAGCACCCCATCCAACCTTGAGTGTTATTTACTGTACACACTTGATCAGCAAACCTCCTTGTTCAATTCCGATCTCACTCGTCACCATATTTTCGATCGGGTTTCGTTAAAGCTCGGCGTAAGGCTTCCTTTGTACTATCCTCTAACTACAGGATAACATGGTAGCGAGGTATTGGGAGGCCGATGCTGATAATGAATGAGAGAACTCAGTGGTCCTCGTCGTCCTTTTTTTCGTAACTACTAAATACCATGATGTATTATTCTTTCGACCATTTGATAATTATACAGTTAACGACTTGGTTGTGCTTCCTAAATGCAATCACAAAAAAGTATCCTACGGTTATTTTGATTCGCAAATGGCAGACTGCGGAACCCCATGCTGACAATCATTATTATTGTCATTCCGAGAACTTGACAAGAGAGCCTGACTTTTCCCGAGTCACTGGCGCCTCGGCAAGTTTAGGTTTCTCAACCCCAAGGGCTTTCCATGCAGCATTCAAGAACAAAGCATGCAGGGATCCAGGGGGTATCAAGGTTCTACCTGCTAGCGCAGCGGCTCTGATGAGCTGGGATTATTATTATGATTATTATTAGGGTTATTCTTCACCCATCGGGTTCAAAATGTGTGTGCAAGTAACTAACGACCTAGTAAGCTCTCAATCAGCATTGACTCAAATTTAGTTCTTACTTCATCGAGAAACTCGCATGCGGGATGAAGCTATCCATGTATTAACGGACATGCTCCCACAAAGGGGAAAAGAGCACACACCACACACCACCCACCATGCTGCTCATGTGTCGCTCATAAAAATCGTCTTTGGTCCCTTCTGCGGGAGCGATCGTGGTTGCGACCGGGAAGTTCCTCTCAGCCTCAAAATGGTGTTCACACCTGGAGGAGCTAAAGACAAAATTATTAGTTATTATTCATACGAAGCTGGCGTGCTACCGGTGAAACATCCGCCGGGTTCCAATGATGCATCTGACCTTATGCCTACCTCTCTCTGTACATGAGCTGTACATCTTGCCTCACTCTTCACTTCCCCTCTCCGCTCCTTGCGAGTCTGTTCTCTCGTCTCCCCCCCCATTCAGCTTCATACATAAGCGACATACTATGTAATTTTCAACCGTGAAGTTTTGGAGCTTTCTCCACTTAGCCAGCTCTTGGGCCCCTTCCAACTCAGCAACCGCTGAGTTTCCCCCTACCCTCCTGCGCCACAGCGCTAGCGCCCTCAAACCATTGTCAAGCCCCATGAGCCCCACCAACGGAGCCCCTCACCAGCAGCGGAGGAACAGCGATGCGATGTGGCTTCACATGGTGTGAGCAGTCGGTTGATTGGATGGCTGCTTGCTGCTTGCATCTTTCGCTGCATGAAAATTGCAACCGTTGGGGATATCTGTGGTGGAGCGTTTTGCGGCGGTAAGAGATCAGTTTTACAGTACCATACATGATTCAAGTCCTGTTTCCTCGAATACAGATCGTAATAAAAACAAATACGGTGCGTGCAGCTCTGAACTGACGGTATGAGCTGTATCCACCGTATTTCGAGGAGAAATAAATAGCACGGCATTTTCGAGAGAGCCCCTCAAACACTCCACGAGCATGAGGAGAGGGGACTCGGGAAATGGTTGGTTAGTGATGAGAAAAAGTTGGCCCTGGCAAATGGAAAGCAGAACGTCAACTTCATCGAACTCCGCTAACTACTTACTTCTCTTGTCGCAAAAAAAAAAAAAAAAAAAAAAAAAGGATGGAATGCTGAAACAACCTTCACCTATCAAGAGAGATTCCCGATTGAGCCGGTGGTACCCAGCCAGCTGGAACCTCAGCGCATCCAGAGATTCTGTCGTCATATCTGTCCCATGTGCTCCAATGAGAGCGCCGTGCAGGCACTCCGCGATGGTTGGCAAACATGCCCTAATCCCTAATTTCCTATTTCCCCGCAGGTGGTATTGCCACGTTACTTCTTTGTTTCCGTCCTCCCTATTATTATCTCACTTCCAGAGGGAAGGAAGCAGTTTGTCGGCCTCGCTTCTTATTGGTTTGGACCTGGCTCTTCTGCTATAGGGCTTTTGAGTCACTGAAGTCCTGTTATTTGGACATTCACTGTGGCATATGTGGCTGTTCAACTCAATAATATGAGGATCTACTCCGACTAAACAATCACGGCGAGGAGGAACAAGTACACGAGCTTCCGCCTTTACGCAGTAGATTTGGACCGTTGCCCCTGAATATGTGGGCTTGTGTTGATGTTTCCATGTTGATGTCATCATTGTAACAGAATGAAACACAGCATGGACAATCACCTACGGGGAAACATGATAAAGCATACTGGTGTAGGTTCTTTTTTTCCGTTTGTGGTATGCAGATAAAGCCAAGGACACTTTGCCCTATCAACAGGCGCCTGTTCTCAATCGCATTACTTTCCATTCCCCAGTCCGCGTGATCCTTATAAAGCTGGTAGCCAGTTGTCGAGTGCCAAATCCGCTTTCGGCGTCACATTCGATCTATGCCGCTATCCATCTTGATCGTCATGGATAGGTAAAACCTGCATCGATATTTTCCTCGATAATATATATATATATATATAATTTTGGCGGCTTCCGCGGCGGACAGGGTTGTGCGATGTGACTTGCTGTACATTGGAGGCCTGGGGAAGCTAATAGGCATGGGTGTGTGGCGAGCCTTCTTTCCTGACTCTTTACGGAGATAGACGCGGAGGATTATTTGTTCATTATTGGGCCTTTGTCCTTCTTGAGGCCCTGACGAGCCTCTGATGCTGGCAATATGTTTCAATCATTTCATCTTCGTGTCGGCTTGCCAACTTTCCTATATTTACAAAGCTGTGATAACGCGAACGCAAATTATATTAACCAGTAATGCTTGTTGCCATTCTCCTCTAGTTATTAGAAATTTCTAAAGCTGCTTCCTTTCATAAACATGTCATAGATTCCTTCGCTATGTCTTGAGACCAGAAATGTGAGATATTAACTTGTCGCCAGTGACACAAGTGTTTAAACCAAAAGGTAAGGAGAGCATAACACGGTAAAATCGGCTTCTCTAGTCTGGCAAGAGTAACACACATGTAGAATGAAATTTCCAAGGCGCATGTGAATACTAACTACTTGGTGCTCTTAGATTGCAAAAGTATGCATATCCTGCACCCAGAATCATGATAGAAAATCTCAAGTCTTCAGCTGATAGCATCTACGACGCAATTCCTAGCCGGCATCAACGAGCTATAGCCATTAAAGGGAAAGTAATTGTGCGGGAGCGGGAGGCTGCAGGCTCATACAGGAAAATGTTAAAGCCCGGTCATCAGTTGGCAAAATGTAGGTAAGGTTCGCATAATGCATATGCACGGCATTGGAATGAACGTGTATGGCCACTCAACCACAACCTTTTGCAGAACATAACCTATCAAGACGAGGAGAGGAAAGAAATATTTGGATATCTCCTCTTTGCCAAGTGTGCGCGGTCATAAGTTAGCAAACAAGCGAGGTTGGATGAACCAACAAATACGTCAAGTAATCTCTCACTCCTTCAAACCAAGTTGATATCCCGGTTCAAATGGCAGACGCCAGGTGATTGCCCCTCAGCCAGCTGATAATGTATTCGATAAAACGCACAGACTGACCCCATTTAGGGAACATGGTAAGACGTGTCATTGCAGATCAAATAAGCAAAACCCCAACCAACCGGTAAGCCAGGTCAGAAGCGGTGGTGCCTTGCAACCTGATGCTAGAATGTCACAGTCAGAGCTGGAGTTGCATCGTTCTATGATGCTTCGAGAAGAAAAGAGCCTCTTCGCCTCAGCCGGCGGCAGCCGGCCCACCGACGCAATTATGGCTGCACTTCTTCTCTCAGCTCATAGCCCACCTAGAGGGAAGCCCAGGGTGGTTAGGATGCTATGTCCCAAGAAGGTGAAGTTCCATGCAGGAAGGCTAGTCAGAAGGAGTGCCTCAGGATCGCTCAGCCAATTCGTATTTTGCTTGGTAAGTCATGAAGCGCGTGAAAAGATACAACGAGTATTTTATTTCGGAGGCTCTTCCGGCCTATATGCTGAACCGAAATCCCTAGAGGAGCATTGAAAGATGCTTTTCTTACTCCGTTTGTCATTAACATGTTTTTTTGCGGGGTTGGACGTCAGGTCTCAACTTTTCGGCGTTAAGCATTCTGCCATAATCTCATGTCCCAAAACCGTTCTGAAGCGGATAACGTAACTACCGCAAAAAAAAGAATAAACTGATGGTCTGTCCAAATTCACATGACAAAGTGAGTGGGAGAAGGCATGCTATATGGCTGAGAAACAGGTCTACTCTATGGGATAGTTACCTTATAACGGCCTGCCGTTTCTTGAATTAGGAAGAGCACACACTATCGCTGCCAAAGATAATGCCATCGATCTGCCGAATCGAGATGAATCCATCGTGCTGGTAAGTTATGCGGCAATCGTTCCCATTTAGCCTATCTCGGCCTCATAGCAGCATCCTGCATTTCTATCATCCTCAACCGAAGTAGCTCCACTGACTTTGGCAGTAAGGAGAGGTCCTTTGAGATAATGTGCCTCCCGAGTTTATTAGCGTTCCTAGCCCTAGGGCCCTTCGCGACGCTATTATGGGACCCTTTTTGTTTAGATTCGGGATTGTGGACCAAACGCCTTGGACGTGGAGGCCAACGCCTGAAAGTTTTGATATCTCCGCATTCTTTTCAATTTTGATTCTATCCCTTTTAATACTTGATGATAATGCTATCTTACTCCCAACGTTTATTCGCATTCAATTCTGCATGCACGTCATTTTTCTGACGTTGATCCAGGTTGATATTTTGTCTTGTGCCGATTCGATCGTCGCGGCAAATAGGGAGGACATTCACCACGTCAAAGTTGTCCGTTAGCGGATATAATTTTTAATTCAGCATTATCATTATCCTTTTGGATCGTAAAAGATACGACATGCAGGAATCGGGGTTGAAGACCACGCCTGCAGAAGAAAGTAGGAATGACCAGCAGAAGGAGGATCCAATTACGATCGCTGAATTGGCCATACTGGCACAGAAAAAGCTCCCTAAGCAAGTATGGGACTATTATGCCTCCGGAGCGGACGAAGAGAATGCATTGAGGAGGAACAGAAGTGCATTTGACAGGTTCGGATAATTTTTCCTTGATGTTCATATTTCATTTGGGACCTTGCAATGGAATTACACCTGCCGAGCCCTATATCCGAAACTTTACTGAGCATTTTTTACAGATTACTCTTACGGCCCAGGGTTTTTCGAGATGTCTCTCATGTTGATACTAGCACTATCATATTTGGCAAAAAGTATCGAATCCCGATTGGAATTTCGCCTAGTGCAATGCAACAGCTTGTGGGTGGTAATGGGGAAATTGATATGGCCAGAGCAGCAGCTAGTCGGGGAACCACGATGATCCTATCATCGCATACAACATGCACGTTAGAAGATGTCATTCAAGCACCAGGTGGAGGCAACCCAGTGGATTTCTGGTTCTAGCTCTATTTCTCGTAGAATCGAGAGAGATGTGCGCAGGTGATATCGAGGTTCCAAGGTAAGCTCCGCAAACACGGCTATTGAAATTTAAAAGCTGTCCAATTCGCAAATTTGGCCGTGAATTAGCCTTCCTCTTTTCGAAAATATAAGTTCCTGCTTAAATATCTAATTTATCGTAGCGGCCGGATAAAAAGCCATAGTTCTAACTGTCGACACCCCTGTCCTAGGTAACCGCATTAATGAGCGAAAAACACCGTTAGTTCTACCTCCTCATCTTTCCCTCGCAAATCTTCACCAAAAGAGAAATAATTCTACCACAAAAGTGAAGCCTCTGAAAGCACAACCGACAATGAATCGTATACTCCTGGAGGCGCGCACTGCTCAAGAAGCCGCTGAAATCACCCGCGGAAACCACGACACCCTCAACGATGCATCGCTCACCTGGTCCGACACCATGTCTTGGCTACGCTCAAAAACCAACCTGAAAATAATCCTAAAAGGCATAATGACCGCAGAGGATGCATTATTGGCCATTGAACACGGCGCTAACGCAATAATTATGGAGGCCGCCAATTGGACTCTGTCCCTTCCACTATCGAAGTGATCCCTGAGATTGTCAGTGCAGTCCGTGGTAGGGTTCCCGTCATTATTGATAGCGGTATTACGAGGGGAAGCGATGTATTTAAGGCATTGGCGCTGGGGGGCAGATTTCACGCTTGTGGGCCGTTCCGCGCTGTGGGGACTCAGTTATGGCGGACAGGAGGGGGTGGAGAGTATTAGATATTTTTGAGCGGGAGCTTTCGAGGACGATGGCGTTGGTTGGCGCAGGGAGCATCAGAGAGATTGGAATGGAAATGCTGGGCGTGGAAAAGATGGACGGCTTTGGTATTTCAAGGCTGTAGATGGAGCTTATCATAGAGTAAAGGGAAGCGCTCTAGACTTGAGGGAAAGCTTGGGAAGAATAGACTTGATATACCAGTGAAATCGATCTATCGATTGAGTTTCCCATCTATTGTATCTCGTTTTGGATCTAACAGCCCTGTCTCGTGTTCCCTTCATGTGGTTTACCCTTGCTGGGTAAGGGGCAAAGACCCCCTGAAGTCAACATATGAGTTAAACGAGTTAATAATTACCCAAGCATTTTGAAGAAGTCATCCCACGCCGCGGAGGCTGCCGGCAATGGTACGCAAACTTGCCACTGGAAATAAATCTTTCAATTTCCGCATGAACAACAAAATTGGCCAGGTGCAGGAATCACCAGAGGGTATAAATCTCAACCAAATTTGCATTTCTGAATCTTCCCACAACCTAAAACCCAAGCTCGTACCCATTTCTCAACGCCTCGTTCTCGTCAAATTCATATGGTGACTCTTGCTAAGGGCCACCTCTCATATCGGCCAGCTTTTTAACAATCTTGTTATGTTGATCGCATTCAACTGTTAAGGCGATTTTGTAGGCACGTATGCCAACATGAGGGAGGGCTTGAGGCACTGAGGACACGCCTCACATGAAATAGTTCGCAGAATGGGCGATCCAAGGGCGTCCTGCCCAGTCAGAACGAGGGCTGAGTATTGCAAAGAGCATAGGTTTTGATTCTCCTTGCAGAAATCCTTCGATATTGTAAAGGAGTCAATATAAAATTGCAGCCCAAACGATATTGAAATAGAATTAGAATTAGAATTTGCATGGCATTAACTCACCTAACCCCCGTTGCCAGGCTGCTTGATATCTGCATCACGAAAAAACTGGTTGCAAGGTCGTACGGCGACCTGAATTTTATTGGATCATGCACCTAAACAAGCTTTTGCGCCGAGAAAGCGGGAGGAACGCTTAAATTCCTCAAGGCATATGCATCTGCAAGGCAGAGAGGTTCACCAATTTCAAAAGAATTAATGCAAACTTCATTATTATGCCTATCGGCGAGTTAATTCGCGACACCTGTCTGTTGCATCATGACGTCCAAATCCAGTTCTATTCAGAGTTTTGTTCAGGAATAAAGATGCCGACTCCGTCTAACAGTCTCACAAGAACATGTTGATTTGTCTGCCTCCAGCCTCCAGCCCCCAGCAAACTCCCCTCTCAGGCAGTGATTCCGCGCATGCTTGTGCTTCAGGCAGAGCCAATCAGCGGCTCCGAGAAAAGTATGACGCGACAACAGTAGCATTTGACTCGGTAAAGCGGCATCCAGAGGGTGTGATTCATCATTTCTCTAGAAAAGTTCAGTGGCGCTTGTCGTGATATGATAGCTGAATGAAGCGTCGGTAAGCAAGTGGGCGGTATTTTATAAATATAATAGAAATATAGAACTCAACACGCTTCACTGTATTCGCTCCTAAGCAACTGAAATCCTTCTTAAAATTTGAGGTAAGGATGAGGTGCAAAAGTCCACAACTCAGGAGTGGTTAAAGAAGGACCACAGCGAAGCTCAGCTGTATGCAATGTAGTCATCCCCGCCGATGACAATATCGTCATACCGTCTTTTCTACCCTGCGTATGCCCAAATTGAGCATTTTCTGGCCAGCGACGTCGTTACCTGGGACTATTCGCGGAAGATGAAAGTTCAATGTCCGAATTTAACTTTTGAGATCCGAACCAAGCCTTTGTCAGCCGCGATCTGGACTCATCCCGTTTTGGCTGCTGGGCCAGGTCCAACCTCGTACAACTAACCATCCCAATGTTTCTTCGAAATCGTCAACTGCTACTGTCATTTATGAGTCCATCAAAAGTGCCACTTTTGTTGTGCAATGAGTGTTGAGTGGTGAATGTACACCATTTTCATTGCGAGAGCCGGATTCCTAAATGCTGCTTCGGATTACGCGCTGGAATTGTCTGATTATATACGATCTGCAACAGACGCATTGCGGACTCACAATCATAACACGTTTAGTACGGGTGCATTCATGGCTGCAGAAGAAGTGATGACTGCAAGATGGCTGTGAGCTTGGCCGCGAATCCTACATAACCTGCTGAACCAGTCCGACTTTTCCATAATCCATCAACCTGGGTCACAGCCCCAAACTGGGTTCTTTTTTGCTGTACCCCCAAGGGCTGCAATTACACTTGTCCGCCTCTCGATTGCGAAGGATTCTTCGGAAATAGTTTCCACTAGCCACCCCTGGCCTGGCCTGGCTCTCTGCGTTGTGCGCTGTTTCAGCCGTATATAGCTCTTTCATTCTATGATGACCCACCCGATATGCGTGGAATGTTGTGGATTGAGGTGTTGTCGAGGACATCAGTTCCGGATGTGCGGTGAAGGACAGTCTCAGCTTGTGATTTTTGAGACTGTTTAATCTGCTCCGGAGATGGAGATGCATTGAATCACCAGTGCATGGTGTAATAACAGAATCTTCTGTGTAAAACACAATATTGATTTACGAAACTCCCTTATCAGCTTTGCTACGGGATATGTCCCTTTTATAAAGCTCATGCTCATACCATCGGCTTGAGTGTTATTTTTAATCTTCAACAATCTTCATGAATCCAATATCAACATGGAATCGATTATCCAATTGGAGAGTTCTCCAATTAATTTCACGCAGAAGAAAAATCTTGTTCCTCTCATATCGCAACAACCCGGGCACGTTGAAAAGGGCGTGCCGAGAACGCATTATATTCCCCTCCCACCGCCGTCGAAAGAACCAACTCAGGTCCTTGATATAGATAAGGAGACTCCCGACAAACACGTCCCTAGAGATCCACGCCTTATTAGGCTTACTGGTGTTCACCCCTTTAATGTTGAACCACCGTTAACTACCCTATATGAGGAAGGTATCTATCTTTCTTCCGATACCTTGACTAATAAAATAC